TACATGTGTGTTGGTGTGTTAAAAACCCCTTTTAAAAAATTATTGAAAAAATATAAATATTAATTTGGATAATAAATAATGTTAATATAAATTAATACTATAACAATGAATTTAAAACTGTGAATAATTTTTTTTTTTTCATATATTTTTTTTTTAAATTATTCTTTTGAAAATATAAAAAAATATTACAATTGGAAAAACTGAAATTAGATTTTTTGTACCTATTTTTATTTACAATTACTATAATTTAAATAAAAATCTTTTTAGTATAATAATGTTTGTAAACTTTGATTTAAATAAAAATCTTGAATAAAAAATTACCATAAAGCATTAAGCATGCAAATAATTAAACTATTTTATTAAATAATATATGTTTTTTAATAATTTTTATGGAATATTCTATTTTTATTATTATCATTATTATTTTATTATAATTATTGTTTTTGTTATTATTGCTATTATTATTATTACTATTATTATTATTATTATTATTATTATTATTATTTATTATTTCCAATTTAATATTACAACTAATACAGTGATATTATCAGTAGAACCACGATCATAGGAATCTTGAGCTAATATTTGAGAAATTTCTTCTGAAGTTTTGCCTAATTTTATATTTTTTTGAACTATTTCAACGGCTTCTTCGTAATTTATTTTATCCCAAAGACCATCACAAGCTAAAATGAAGAAATGGTCACGGTTGGTTAATTCGGTTGTTGTTTGATATGGATCAGCAACACAGAATTTCTTTTCACCTTCTTTATATTCTTTATCACCAAATGAACGACTTACGGCCAAACTACCAAAAAGACGATTGAAAATAATCATACCACCCATACCTGTAATTCTCTTCTTTTCTTGATCATCACTTGCTAAATGTTTGTATGAAAGTAATACTGGCTCATAAATTAGATTCTTTGGTGTGCTATTTTGGGTTGTACGTGCCAATACAATTTCAGAATCACCGACATTTGCAGTATAAAGAGTTGTACCAACTAATAATGCAGATACACCTGTACTACCACTCTTTTCACATTTGGGTATTACTAATTTATCAGCTTCAGTATATGCGTCTTTGAATGCTTTTTCATAATCGTCATCTTTAAAGGCTTGGGTTTCGACCAAACATTTATGTACAATGGGTTCGAGAGCTTTTGATGTTTCGGTACCACCATGACCATCGTAAACTGCATAGTATGAGATTTGATCTTCTTTTGTGCCTGGATACTTGGTTTCAGCTAATAAATTATCATATAATGCGTGTGTATCTTCCATATTTTTTCTTCTACCTTGGAGTGATCCATGGCCTGATTGGATTGATGCAATGGTCGAGCCCTTAACTTTCTTCTTCTTTGGTGTTGATTCTTTGGCGGGTTTTTCTTCTTTGGCTGGTTTTGGAGCTTTTTCTTCTTTAACTTTTGGTTGTTTTGATTCTTTTGGAGGTTTTTCTTCTTTTACTTTTGGAAGTTTTTCTTCTTTTACTTTTGGAGGTTTTTCTTCTTTAACCTTTGGTGGTTTTGATTCTTTTGGAGGGTTTTTCTTCTTTTACTTTTGGTTCTTTTGATGGGTTTGGAGGTTTTTCTTCTTTAACTTTTGGTTCTTTTAGTGGTTTTGGAGGGTTTGATTCTTTTGATTTTGGTTCTTTTGATGGTTTTGGTTCTTTACCAACCGATTTATTTGAGGATGTTAGTGATGTTGTGGTGGTTGTGGTTGTAGTGGTTGCGATGGATGGTAATGAGGTCATTGATGAACATGCTGACTCACTATTGCTATAACTACTATCTGTATTTGAATCTAGTGCGCTACTAATTGAGTTATTACCCATACTACCAATAGTACTTGTTGGGTGATGATGTTGTTGCTGTTGCTGTTGCTGTTGCTGTTGTTGTTGTTGATATAGATGCTGTTGTTGTAATATTTGTTGTTGACGTTTATTACTAACTTCAATATCGTATAAACCTGGTATTTGAACTGATGTATTAGTTGGTAAACGACTTGAATTGTTTGAACCAATTGATGATACTGGTGATGAGTTATGTGATGTCCATGGTGTTGTGAAACCCCTCTTTTCTGCATCTAATCTTAATTGTTCTAAAATCATTTCAAATTCATCTCTTACATTTGCTTTATCCAATAAATTTACAACATGAATTTTAAAAGGTTTTTCTTTATCTGTTAACTAAATTATAAATTATAAAATAAAGTTAATATTTAAAATTCTTGTGATAATATTAATAAAAATAATGAAAACTTACAAATTTACTAAATTTATCTGAAATAAAAGAAATTGCTTGTTCTGGGTCATTTGTACCATCATAATCTGGAAAGCATGATCTTAGATCAAACTGCTTTATATTTTCATAAAATATATCACTTGTATTAAAAATTAAATTGACCGCAAGTGATTTTTCAAATAACTCTGATCTAACTAAACTTTCAAATGAATTTAATGATTCTAATAATAAATTTTTATGAACATGGGTACGGCAGATTTCTGCAATTGATGAATCTGGTGTTTGAAATTGATCTGAAAAATAACTAATTGTTATTGTGAGATTAGTATTTAAATTATATTAAATTATATTTTTATATAGATATGCTTACTCTTTTAATGCTACAACATAGAATATATAGTTTGGTTTATAACTTTGGTATAGACCTCCCCAATTTTTTGGTGTTGACTCTTTACCTGATGAACCAAATAAATCTACTTTAAATCTTTTATATAGTATAGTTGATGATTGAATTGAATCGTTTTGGTCATATGCACTTATAATATCCATTTCTGTTGGTGTATAATGTGGGTCAAATACTTTAAACATTCTATCCATATAACTTTTTTTTTAAAAAAAAAAGAGATGTTAGTAAATTTGTGCAATTGGAAATATGTATGAAAAATATAATAGTTACTATTTTGGTCTACCTGGTGTTCTAAATTCGGAGCAGTGTTTTGAATGAGCGTACACGGCTTGAATACCTTTATCTTCCCATAAACATTTACAATCCCAACCAAGTTTTAAGGGAAATCTTGGTAGTTTATTTCTTGCCAACTCAGAGGGTTGGCTTAATACTCTTTTAACTCTTTCTACATTGTCTGGTAATAATAAAACATTTAAAAGCTCACTGTTTTCTATAAAACGAATTAAGGTTGCTAATGTATTTGCGTAAATTAATCTTTGATAGTATTTTGGATCCAATGCTTCTGTACCATATAATATATCCAATTGTCTCTGTAATGTTGTTTTTCCGCTCTCTGTATTACCCAATATCATTACAGTTCCACAAAAATCATGTGCTTTAATTTGTATTTGTTGTTGTATTTGCTGATGCCCTATACCCGGCATTAGTTGTTGTTGTTGCTGTTGTTGAATTAAATTTAGTGCATTATGCTGTGATGCTGATTGGGGTATATCTGATTTTTTATCTTTTTTACTTGAAAATATTTTCACCTTCATTTTTTTTATTTATTAAAAATTATATATAATTTATATATAACTTTTTTGATTTTTTGTTGCAATTATTATATTTACAAGTTATAAATATGTTGATTTGATTAGTTTTATTTTTATAATTGAGGATTTAAATAAATAATTCTAATGGTACTATATTACTACAATTAAATAAATTCTATTAAAAAAAAAAATAATTAATATAATATTTTAAAAATAATATTAAAAATTTATTTGAAATTAAAAAAAAAAAAAAACAAAAGAAAAAAAGAGAACCAACAAATAAAAAATATTGTTTACATAATATATATTTTTAAAAATAAATAATAAAAAAAAAAGATAATTTTGGTTTTTTTTTTTTTTGGGTGGTGTGGGTTATTTTCTTTGTTTTGTATATATTAAAATGAGCAATATTGTGTAAGTGTTGTTTTTTTTTTTGTTGATTTATTTTCTGATGCTAATAGCTGGTGTCTCTTTTGAACCAAATGAAATAAAAAGTAAATATAGAAACAATACTATTATTATGTGAAAATTTGGTTTGATAATAAATATTGATTTAATATTGATACAGTTCCATAAAGGAGAATACTATATTTGTGTTGTGTGTGTATTAAATTTTATTATATTACAATTTATATTACTAATGATTTTTATTACTACAATATGTACAACAGCTATTTGTTTTTTTTAACTTCGCTGTATTTTATTTTCTGAAACTACTATATTATATAATTTTATAGTTTTTTTTTCCTATTTATATATTCCATAAATTTTTTAAATTATTTGATATTATAGGATATTTTTTTATTTCTGTATTAACAAATAAATATTATTATTACTACTATTACTATTATTATGAATATCTAATAAGAAATGTTAAATATAAATAATTTTAATATGATTTTGAAGATGTGATTAAAAATATGATAATTAATATTATCTCTATTAGTTTTTTTTTTTAAATTTAGAGTTGTTTTTTTTTTTAAAAAATTTATTAAAAATTTAAAAAAATAAAATTTTTTTATTTTTTTTTATAAAATTTTACTTTTTTTTTTTTTTTTTTAATTATTTATTATAAAAAATATTATTTATTATTTTTTGAAAAATACAGAGATATATTGTATAATAATCATTAAAATAAATATTATAAAATGAAACAAATAAAATATAGAGGAATACAGAGGTGGTTAATCGCAATTTTTTGCTCGTAAATGAAAAAAAAAAAAAAAAATAAAATAAAAAAAAAAAGTTATTATTTTAATCTATTATATAATATTGATAATGTGGGATGTATTTTTATAAAATGTATTTGTACCTATGTGTATTGTATTTAATATTGTGTTTGTGATGTTGGTGATAATAAAATAATAAAAAATGATGTGTAATATTGTTGTTATTGTTTTTATGGTTGTTAATAAATACTATATTTGATTTATTTATTATTTTTAAATAATATGTTTATGATTAAAAAAAATAAAATAAAACAAAAAAAAAAAAAAAAATACAGCAAATTTTTTTTTTAAATTATAAAATAAATAACAAAAAAAAAAAATTAAATTAAAAACCACACTCATATTAAACACCCCACACCAAATCACACACCCACACATTTACACACACTCAAACATATTAAATACCCCACCCACACACTAACAAAATAAAAGAAAAAATTGACAAATTGATTAAAAATAATTATAAAATTTTTTTTTTTTTAAATTTAGCCTTTTTTCAAAGAAAGTTAAATAAATTTTGTACCTTTTAAATATAGTATTTTAACTCTATTAAAATAGAATAATTGTATTAATATAAAAGAGTAATAATTTGTTATATATATGGAAAATATTTTTAATTTACTTTATTGTTTAGATAAAAGGTAATCCTGGTCTTTGGGTAATACAAAGCCCAAAGCTTAGAAGATAAACATTCATCTATTAAACATTGAGATGTGAAAAATCGCTGTAGAATTATCAAAACTAAAGTGCACAAGTGCCATTCCTTCTTCATGTCGCTCCTAAACCATTTTTTGTTTCAATTAGTGATCAATGGTTTTTAATCTCATCGCCCT